TTTTTTTTTTTTTTTTTTTTTGGTTGCAACCTCGACTATGCAGGGTTGCCAGAATGAATCTCTGTTTAAACCCCTAACCAGTTCACTTAAAACCATCCGAGTCTGTTATGTGTATGTAAATCATATGTAACATCACCTCGAGAGCTTTTTTCAACCAGAATGCAATTAAAATAGCCAGAGTTTGGTTTTGCGCAATCTGGCAACCCGTGGCTGTTGTTTCTCGGTTGTTGGCGTTATTTTGCGTGGAGTGATCGCACCGCCAGTCGCTCATGATGCGGGTTACAGCCATATATCAGCATTGTAGGGTTGCCAGAATGTGAGTTTATGGCCCCGACACTAAAATCCAGCCCAAACTTTAACTTTGGGTTAAAGTGATAAGTGTGAGTCCAATTTCAGCAAGAAAAGATCTAAAGCCAGGTTTATGGCGTACGATTTTTCAGCCTGATTTTGCTGTTGTGGTTGAAGATCGCATGTTGTAAAGGATGTCTTTGGTCACGAGTTGAGATTGGTGGTCTTAATATGATGATCATTAGCTGGTTGTGGCAGTGTCAGAAATGTTCATTAAAATCTCAGAGCGTGATCTGCTACGATGCTCGTCTAAAAGCCACCAATAGTAGGACGACACAAAAATTCCATCCATCCGTCATCTATCGTACACGGGGTCGCGGAGAACCTGGAGCCTATCCCAGGGGACTTGGGGCACAAGGCGGGGGACACCCCATCACAGGGCACGGTCACACACACTCTCACACCATGGTCATCAGCCTTGTTTTTGGACTGGGGGAGGAAACCAGAGTATACCTCCGAAGCATGGGGTGAACAAACTCCACGCACGCAGGACGGAGGTGGGAATCGAACCCCCAACCCTGGAGGTGCGAGGCAAACGTATTAACTACTAAACCACCGTGCCCATGATGCGAAACTTGAATCGCAAATTGATATGTTTAAGTTTGAGCAAGCGATCATTTTAAAGTCCTGGTGTTATTTAATATAGCGTGACCAGCATACCTGCCTGACCCCTTGTACAGCTACGAGGCATGCTAATGGACAGAAAAAGATGTCCTTTCCACCTCAAACTCACTTTTGTCCTCTTTCAACCAGCCACGAATGACTCCAAGCTCCACTTCTTCACCTTTATCCTGACACAACATTGCTACTATTATACCGAGATATAATGCTAAACAACCGACGGCTTGTTTATGTTTATGTTTATGTTTATGCAGCTCCATTTTCTGAACAATCCCGGATCACGCTGATGATTGATGTAATTGTAATTTTCTTCGTAAGTCTATCGTTAGAGGAACTTCATCGTCTGATCTGGTGCAGAGAACACGTGATCGCACAGTGCAGTATAGATTTCAGACAAGGTTTTATCAGGAGCATCTTGTACAATGTGACATGTAATAGTGTTAAACTGTTGAAATCACACAGTGTAAAACGGGTGTAATGGTGATTTGTCTCCCTTGGTATGATTAACAGCGTCCCATTCTGAGGTGACACTACCCAATCTGGCAACATGAGCAGGATCTGCGTTTGCATGCGCTGCTAATTATGTTCCCCCGTTTCTCTCTGACAGCCTTCACACCCCCACCTTCTCCTCTCATTCTGTTACCGTGCTTCATTTTTTCACCCAACACCAAAGACAGAAGACAGTGCTGCTGTTTAGGGGCCACCAGTCCAGTGTTGTCACCAGACCTGCTCCTTTAATCGCCACTGTAGTGTGTGCTGCAGCTCTAACACACATTTTAACCTCGTAAAAGATCTGTTAATGAGGTGATGTGTGAGTTGTGTACGGACAGGAAAACAAACACATGTGCACACATCAGGAACGATAAGACCATCACTGGCTGTGCTTACAGTGCCTTTCATAAGTATTCAGAATAAGGAAAAGTTCTGTCTGTCTGTCTATCCATCTGTGTATCTGTCTGTTCACCTATCTGCGTGTCTCTGTCTGTCTGTCTATCTATCTATCTATCTATCTTGACTTGACTCTATCTATCTGTTTATCTGTCTGTCCATCCGTGTGTCTATCTGTCCATATGTCTGTCTATCTATCTATCTATCTATCTATCTATCTATCTATTGTCCTGTCTGTCTGTCTGTTCATCTATCTATCTATCTATCTATTGTCCTGTCTGTCTGTCTGTTCATCTATCTATCTATCTATCTATCTGTCTGTCTGTCTGTCTGTCTGTCTGTCTGTCAATCCTCCTTCCATCCATCTCTCATCCATTTGTTTTTGTTGTCTGTTCAGTCATCTGTCAGTTTATAAGTATTTCTGTCTATCTGTTCCTTTCTGTCTGTCTCTTTATATATCTGTCTGTTTTCCTGTTTATCTTCACCTGTCTGCTGTCTATCCATCTGTCTGTCTGACTGTTTGGCTCTCGGTCTATTGGCCTGTCTGTTGTTGTCTTTCTGTCTGTTTATTTATTTGAGATGGTCTATCAGTCTGTTTGTCTGTCTCTGTCCTTTCCTGGCTGTCTAGCTGCTTACATTCCAGTCATGACCTCTGCACCAGAATAATCTTCTGGTGTGTTAGTGTGCAGTTGAGGGTTTCAGTTGCTGAAGTTTAAGCAAGAACACTCAGTGTGAAAGCGTTTTCGGGTTTGGGACAGAGCCCCAGTCTGAGCTGTTTAACAGCTGTGTTGTTAGTGACTCCATCGTAACAGGCCTTTATTCATCTTCGCCATGACTTGAGTGTATCATCACTTTTAGGTCCTCGGTTTTGTGTTAAAACTTCAAGTTTGAATAAATTATCCATTTGAAACTTTGTAATTTGCATCGTTGACCAGTAGCACAAAGCAGCACGGTCCTTCATAATGCTGATGTAGAAGATCCAAAATGGAGGCGTTTCAGCAATGTGCAGGCACAGGATTATATACAATACTTCTTGAATAATGCTATAAATTATTCCATAAAATACAAGCTAGCTAAAATTCTGACCAAATTAAGTTATATCTAAACTGCTGACTGGAACAAATTGTGAACTTTTTGTGGATTAGTGTATTTTGAACTGCAAATTTTCATTTCTTTTTAATCACTTCAGCAACTTGAGAGCAAGAAAATCCTAATAGACTCAGTTTATTATATTTACATTTATTGAGCTGATAGGCTTTTTTTTCCCCCCATAAATCCTTTACAAATAAGGCAGAATCCGATCTCAGCACTTGAATGCTAATTGTTTTGCACTGAAAGGGTGTGGGTTCAATTCCCGTGACTGCCAGAAGACTGTGTTATTTTTTTTTTCTCTTTGAAATAGTTGCTGATAGAAATAGAAATGGCCTTTATTAGCAACTGTTTTTCATTACATTAGCAGATAAATTGTTTGTTGATACACAAAATCCTGAGGAAAAAATGTAGTGGAAATATTTCTGACAGGAAAAATGCTATGCTTACACATAAATTTACAAAAACCAACCAAACAAACCAGTGCAACTGGACTGACTCTAGAAAATATTGTGACACAGAGCAGTATCTGGTCTCGTGTGATTATAATCAGTTAATTTTTGCACCATGATGGAAATTATGAAACTGGACAATACTTCATTCCTCCAGTTCTGTTTCTGTCCTGATCGGTAATGGAAAAGACACCAAAAAATAAGAAAAACTTGGACACAATTACATAAAATTCCTGATGAAAATGTGTCAAACACAATGGAAATTTTTTTATATAGCAAAACAAATAGAAACATAGCTTCTGATAGCCTTCATTTGGGGTAAAAGCATTTGGCAAATGAATAAGCAACTACCGAATCTCGATGATACCTTTGATTCAGTCTCATTTATTTGTGACGCAAAAATAAGATACCCACACGAATCTTTTCTTTTTCTGTCCAGTCGTTGCCGTAATGCCTCGTTTCCCTTTCGAAAACCTCCTTAAAGTGAGCCGATCATGGCCGGGTCACGGCCGTTCCATAAATAACAGATGGAAAAGCTTTTCCTCATAGTCACAACATGATCTCTTATGCAGAGATCACTGCGGGAGTCGCATTAATGAGTCAGTGTGTAAAGAATTCAGCAAGCCCAGGGCACTGAAGAGGAAATAAATCACCCGACATTCAGGCAGCGTTCGCTGTAAAATGTCACCAACGCCCGTTATCTATGAAATCAACTATTAATAGTCAAAATTACATTTAATCCGATTGTTATGGGCTGAGTCAAAAGGAGTGGAAGTGCAGACAGATGAATGGCACTTAACTTTAAGCACCCTAGTCATTAAGCTGACCGGTTTAACGACAACAAAATTGCACAGTGCATCACAGTTGTAGAGGTTTAAATACATTTGTACTATAGCGCTGTTGAGTTCTTCGACCTGATCCATGTTGATTAATGATCACTTCTGTAGTAACATCTTACACAGAGACTTGCATGGTGGACAGTCTACATAATCTAATACTAATAATAAATGGATTTTAAAAAATGCGTTGTGGTGATATGGTGACGTTTTCGGTGAGGAGATGTTTATTTAGCATTTATGGAAGGAGTCTCCAGTGTCAGTGCTCAGTAAGTTTTCCAACATGGGGAAACGTTTCAGGACAGAGGAGTTTACGCTTTCTGGTTTCTCTAATAACATGACAAACTGCAATATTTAGTGTCGTTAAGTTCAAGAGAGAGAAGAAAGAGAGGCTGGTGAGGGAATGACTGTTTATAGCTGCTATAAAGAAAGTGATAAGCAGAACTAACGGGCCATTACGTGTCATTTCACATAAAGACAAACTTTTTTGAGGATCCCATAAGAAAAAAAACTGGCCTTCTGTGGAGATTTCTAAGCATTTAGACAGATAGAAAACAAGTTTGTCTTTATATCTGCCAAATTACATATAATATTTCTGGAGATATTTAATTTTAAACATGGCTTCCCAGATAAGATGTTTTTTTTTTTTTTTTTTTTTTTTTTTTAAATTAGAAAGTATGATATGTTTTAGGGGAGTGGAAAAAATTTAATGTTAGAATTCAGCCAAAATACTTTACAGATTTTGCGTTTAGCTAACAAGCAACAAAAAAAAACAAGAAAGAGCAAAATCTGAGACATGCGGCAATAACCGTATCTGAATTGATTTATTTTTGTGTTTTCTCTGCAACTTGACAAGGTGCATGTTTATTGCTGCTAAGTGATAACAGGAACTACCTTGTGTCATGGACATTACCAGTACAAACATTAAATGTAGCCATAAATGGATAAAAATTTCGTCGTGTTGTATGTGTTCTGCTTCACGTCCAGCCTCACCACACCACCCCATTGTTGATTAATTTTCTATAAGAGTACACCAATGTAAATGTTTTATTGCTTTCATTCTTTAAAATATGAATTGAATAATTGAACAATTGGAGCCACAGTGTACACCATCAGCCACAACATTAAAACCACTGGCAGGTGACGTGAATAATATTGATTATCTCAGTGCAGTGGCACCTGTCAAGTGGTGGGAGATATTAGGCAGCAAGTGAACAGTCAGTTCTCAGGGATGATGTGTTGGAAGCAGGAAAAAATGAGCAAGAGTAAGGATCTGAGCGACTTTAGCAATGGGCAAATTGTGATGGTTAGGACCTACCAAAAGTGGTCCAAGGAAGGACAACTGATGAACCGGTGACAGTTTCACTGATGCACGTGGGGAATGAAGGCTAGCCCGTCTGGTCCGATCCCACAGAAGAGCTACTGTAGCATAAATTGCTGAAAAAGTTAATGGTGGCTATTACAGAAAGATGCCAGAACACACAGTGCATCGCAGCTTGCTGCGTATGGAGCTGCGTAGCTGCAGACTGGTCAGAGTGCCCGTGCAGACCCCTGTCCACCACCGAAAGTGCCTACAGTGGGCACATGAGCATCAGAACTGGACCATGGAGCAGTGGAAGAAGGTGGTCTGGACTGATGAATCACATTTTCTTTTACATCATGTGGACTGCCGGGTG